CTTGATGTGGCCCCTATGGCACTTCCACGCAGTCGGGAACCGGGCGGCCTTTCTATTATTTTTTTCTAAAATCGTTTTCTTTCGTGCCCGGCCAGGCGTGCGTGGCATGCGTAGGCGGGCTGTCGACTGCCTTGACATTCACGGTGCCCGATCCCGCGCCAGATGGTCCTGACTGTGTCTCCCCACTGGGCTCAGGTGGATGAGGAGGGACAGCGTGCGGTGGATACAACGCAGGTTTGCTATCGGGTGTAATTACGTGCAGGATGTCAAGGGTATTTGGACTAGCCAATGAGCGCAAACCATGACTGTGACTTTGACTAGCGACATGCCCACTTATTTTTTTCGTGTTTAATTTGATTATTCGCATATTATTTATTATAGAATTTAAAAATCCGGTAAAAAGATGGCGTTTAGGAGGTCGTCTACTTCAACTTACCTGAGTTCCAAATTACCGTGCTGGAGTTAGTTTATATAAGTTCGCGGCGCAAAGCGCCGCGCACACCTCAAATTTACATTCCCCACAATTAAAATGGCAAAAAAATTCATTTCGGGTGCAACAAATGAAGAATAACATCATCCCTGGCACGATGTAACATTGGATTTTAGCCTACTCGGACTAACCAATAGGCGCTTGCACGGCTATTTTGACTACCCGTGCAAATCCTGCACTGAGGCTCACCCTTTGCTATCAACACGCACACCACTTCGCGCGCAATTCATGGCTCCTTTGACCACCACGCTGTGGAGCAGACGGTGTTCATTTTGTGATCCACTGCCCATATGCTTCTTCGGGGGGGGGAGGCAGAGAGAATAGCAATGACACAGTACACTTTGAGTAAACGGCCTCGGCGGGAGCTTACTGCGTCTATATTGGTGGATTCCATAAGTGTGATAAATCTGAGCAAGAAAATCGAACCAATTGTGAGTAAATTCACGGCGCACGGTAAGCATCGTAGCCCAATGGTAGGGCGTCGGCTGCGAAAAAAGCCTACCCTGCTGTGTGGGTTCGATTCCTACCGAGGCCGTGGGTTTTTCACAATTGGTTAATCGAATTATTGAAATCCGCCAAACCCCTACAAAATTACAATTTATAGTGTGAGAACTCGTAGCGTTCGACGCGATTTGAACCCGCATAGTACAGAAGGCCTGTACGCGAAGCCAATGCTCTCCCAGTTGAGCTACAAACGCAACGCCTGCGCCGTGAATTTA